GGACAGCTTTTGTTCCAAAGAACTATGTTTTCTTACTACTGAATTGTATATAATGAGCTAAATCCTGCTTTCTTCATTCATAAAATTAGAGCAGGATTTGGTCATGTTCGCAATCATTCATTTGGTAGTATAGTAATATATTATCTATAGGCTTAATTGAACGCTTGATCTAAATGTCTACCTGAAACAAAGATAAAAAGTGAAACAAAAGTGTTGGAACAAACAACCTGTCCTCCATCCTTTAAGATCTTATGTTTGGAAAATCATATTTTATTAAGAGCATTGAGGTTATTTATTGTTATACTTAAGTTGATTTGCATAACTGTGACCTGATTGGTTATATATTGACACTGCTGTCTTTGGTTATAGATACACTTTTTTCCCCAAACAACCATGCCCAATGTTTTAAGTACAAATACTATCAAATTAGAGCGCATTGAGGAACCCTTGAATGAGCAAGGTTTCCTGGTTTGAGTCCTTACAAATTATCAGAGATATACTTTTAAGAACGATGGTTCCAAGGAGTAATGCTAATACAACTTTCCACAGTGCACATTACTTTTAGCCACAAATTGGTTTGAGTCGAACCAGACCAAAGCCACCAGTCATGCTAGTAATGCTAAAGGTTTGCTAGCTCACAAATTGTTAAAATTCAAGTACAAAACTCTAGCTAGTAAATCTTCTTCAACATCTATTCTCATATAGGTTAAAAAATGGATAAAATGGCTGAAAAGGCATTTACAGTGTTTTAAAAATCTCCTATGGAAAAGAAATTTTTTATATCACAAGAAAAAAAAAAGCTCCTGTAGATTGTTATGTGCATAAGGTGGAGGCTTAAGAGCAGACACATTTGCAGATGAACTGCTTTTACTAGCTTCTCTGAGACATGACATTTGTTCAGAAGATTAGCCAGGTTGTAATGTGTAGCATAATTGCACTGTGCGGATGTCCCAGAAGTGAAAACCTAATTGCTTGACAGGACTATAACTTTGTGGTATGCTCTCACCTTGTTAGGTCCTTTTCTGATGCAGTTCAAATGAAGTCTGGCCGCAGGTGTGCCTAATTTACCTCGCAACAGAACGTGTTGAGTTTAATTGCACAGTGGTTGTTAGGAAAAATTGGTGGGTGGAATATCAAGTGACTTACTGTATGCTGATGGCAGATGGGCGTTAAGAGGCATTGTGAGCTAAGTGTATAGGTGAGGTGAGTTAATAAAAGATGTAAATTTTATCTTAAAATAGTGAAGCCTTATGGTAGGTAATACATTTTAATTAAGAGGGTATCAGTCCTTTCTTTAGCAGTAGGAAGAAAATCAAAGAAAGGGGAAATCACCAAGAAATACTGTTTTTCCTTACATCAGTATTTTTTTTAGGAGCAGTTTCCAATTGAGGATGTTTAGGAAGGATATTCCAAAAGATTAAATACATTCAAATGTGTAATGTGTGTACATAAATTACCTAAATTGCAGAATACAACACAGGGACAGACAAAACCAGAGAAGTCTGTGTTCTCGTTCTACTGATAGCAACAAAGTTTGAAAAGCTACCTTAACATGAACCCAAAGCCAGTATCCTACTTTTTCCCGACTCCAGGATTCGGTTCCCAAGAGTATAAAGCTTTTTCTGTGGAAATGCAGCCAGCTCTATCCTCTCTGCTCTAGGGACTGCCTGCTAGGATGCAGGATTCTTGTTGGCCAGTCAAGGGAAAGTAGGCAGCTTTCTCCTCTGCACTGAGCTAAGGGAATGGCCTCCCTGGGAACAGGGTTTTTCTTGTCCTTGTGTCACTTTCTCTTGAAGTTCTTCTCTTATGCCACCTGAGCTCCCAGGGCTCTTCTGAGCTACAGTTACAAACTGTCATTTGAGTCATGCAGTCCCACCATAAAGCTGAGATACAAACATTGGTTATGTTGCATCCCAGTGCTGTTTCTTCTGAATTTAGCTCAGCGTTCAGGTTTCTTCGGGTGGACTTGAATGTTTATGGTTCAGACAAGCTTGGCTTTCTACCCAAACCACTGAGTAAATATCTGATTCATTTGTTCAGTAAAAGATTGCTTAATATACTTTTGTAGATGTACATGGGTTCCCCATAGAAACAATTCTTCAGTGTAAAAAAATTCACATGTAATTAATAAATAATAATACGTTGCACTTCTGGAGCACCTTTCAACTGAGGATTTCAAAGTAATTTACAAACTTTAATTCAATAAGCCTCACAACACCCATTTGACATTGGAAAACAGGATCAGATTCTCCTTTTCAGTCTGACTCCTTTATGGCACTAAGAGGCTGTGAAGCTGACATCTCCCTAGACCAGTGGTTTTCAACCTTTTTTTCATTTGCGGACATCTAAAAAATTTCAAATAGAGGTGCAGACCACTTTGGAAATTCAATCTGTGGTCCACGGAACCCTCCCATAGAAGTCTTAGCCTGAAAATTAACTGCACAGAATTCAACTATAAATGTTGCACATGCTCAGCACAGCATTTGATGCAGCGTGAGAAAGGCGCTAAACTGTGGGCTTCTATGGTAATGACAACACTTCTGACTTATAGGTTTTGACTTATAGGTAGGGGTATTCACATATTTTTGATTGATCAGAAAAACAGAATGTCTTTTCTGGGATCTGAAACTTTATTTTTATAGTCACCTTTTGCAGACTCCTTAGACATGGTTTACAGACCTCCAGGGGTCCACAGACCACAGACTGAAAACTACTGCCCTAGACAGTAATTTTCCCAATGTGGGGCATGCCCAGCTGAGGTGGAGCCAGTTTTACTGGATCCTATGCCACTCCACACAGCTGCCCATATAGTAGGGGACTTGGAAGGGGGGACAGGATGTGACCAGACCACTATTATGCTCTGACTGTTCTCTAGCCCCTGGGTACCATAGCCAGGCAGAGTACTTTAGAGCACCCCTACATGCAGCCAGCTGTAGGCTCAGGGAACGGCAGCCATTCATTATAGCTTCCCCCCCCACCACATCTATGCCCAGCAAATATTAGTTCAGCTGAGAAGCTAGACCATAGAGATCATATCAACTACCATTGAAATGTAGCCACCTCTGGGGTGAAAGCCCAGTTGATCACAACACTACACAAGAATTCAGGAGAGGAAGTGAAGAATACAATATCCAATTGAAATTGCAGCAGGGATTGATTTAGGCACAATGTAATTACACGTGCTGAAATTTGGCAATGAAAAAAGGTTTAATACTCCTTCTTCAGTAATATAGACTCTTTAGTGGGTACAAGGAATCAGTGCTAGAGCAGACTGGAAAATGGAGGGAGAGGGGACTTAGCAAAATTTCTCTTCCATTTAATGTCAAAATTCCCATTACTGTTGAAAATTTGCTAACCAGCTCTAGAGATTATCCCATTTATATGTCCCATCGGAGAGATGGCTTCTTCAGCAGTACAGTGCCCACCAATAACATATTGGGGCTTTTGTTCAGGATTAACTCAGAGGCAACTGGCAAGAGTTCTAACTACTGAATTATCAACACCCTTTCTACAGTACCTGAGTATTCCGTAGAGTTCTCCCATCCAGCTATTGCCACAGCCCAGGGGTTCACACATGACATGACAACGGTACAGCTTCAGGCACACGTTTTATCAACTGGAGTCTGACCCTTCAGGTTTGAAGTTCTAAAGGAGGAAAGAGTGGAGAGCTAAGCTCTTATCAGGGATATTACTTGCACTTGAACATTTATCTAAAGAGTATCCAGGTACTATGGTGACGGATACTTTATAATTAAGAGTAACATTAATAAATAATATTTTTTTGTATTCTGAATAAAATTCCTAAAGATCCTGTTAAGCTCAATATTAAAAATATGTTTACTTGACCACCAGAGAAGATATTTTGCTGTTATAAACTATAACAATATCACAATGTTAAGAAAATAGTAAGGGCTAGGTTGTGATCAGCCTTTAAGCCTCTGTACTAGGGAAGGGCTTTTCCCTCACCTTGGACAGCCTGTGTGAGATCTATGCAGGAGCTGCTCCAAAGCGGCTACCTGCTTCCCAGAGCAACTTGCTGAAAACAAGGAAGGAAGGGAAGTAGGTGGAACCATAACTTTGCTGCCCCAAAAACTACCTGGAGGTGGAATGAGGGTATACACCTGATTCATTATAAGGGTGTCACAAATTGTTTCTTTCCTCTTTTCCCACCTTTCCATACAGTTGTTTGCCCTAGGAAACATTTTACCTCTCAGAGTTCCCCCTGAGCAATCCTGCTCTACACAGCCCGCAGCGCAGGAAGGTGACTAAATGGCACAGTTTAACCCTATACAATTATCTTTTAATATGCTGAATAGTTTAGAAGCTGGACTACATATTGCCCTGGGCATGGTCACTCTTTTTTTTTACAGTTTTAAGGTCATTATAGTGACCAGTCAGAGTGCAGGACTTAATACTCAGTGTTCCATTGTATTTTAACAATAATGACCAATGGGAATGACTTTTCCTGACATTTAAGCCCAATGCAAATCCCACTGAAGTCAATGGGAGCTGGATCATACCTCTTTTGAGCAGCCAGAGGAGTCTTCAACCAGAGGCAAAGCCAAGAGTCCTTAACGAGACTGATCATTAATTGACAGGAAATTTCCAACTCGGAGGTCATTAGTGCTAATATAAGCTGTGAAAACATAAAACATGTTAAGAAAAAAAAAGGGGGGGCAGATCCTCAGCTAGTATAAATCACAATCATTGATGTGATTGAATCATTGAAGTCAATTGTGCTACACTGATTTACAGGTCCTGAGGATCTGGCCCAGAGTCATTACATTTTCAAGTGTTGAAGATGTAAAAATTGAAGCGCATGTTGCCATGGATATGGTGTTCTGATTACAGCAGTGATCTTTTCTAGTTCTTAAAGACCAGTACAGTAACCAATACGAAAGTAAGATGTCCTTCCCAATATTCTGTAAGGTTTACTTAAGAATTTATTACACATTTTTCTCTTTTGATATCCCTAACAAACTTCAATTTTGTATTTTTAGATTCTTTCTAAAGTTTTTTCTCAAGTGCAATCAGAACTGTTTGAAGAATGCAGGCAACCCACGAGATATGCGAAGATTCCAGGTACAGAGTTTTAAAAAAGAAATAAGGATATAGTCAAGATTAATTCATAAATTCCAAATAACTTACCATTATATTTTTTTCTGATAGAGTGTTGTCTTTTTTATTTAATACAGTTAGTTTCAGAACTGTATACCTTTTAAAAATGATATATAAAACTTTTAAAAATATTTGCCTACTTTAAATGCATGTTCTTAGGAGTTGTCAAGTTCATGAGCAGACCATGATGGATTGTTCTGAAGCAAATGGGAATCGCCAGTGAAAATATTGCTGTTGTTTTTTCTCATATTAAAATCTTTACTGTGTTATTGGGTTGCTAAGACCAGTAGAGAAGTTTTTACACATGTATGATGAGTAGCACCAACTAAGTATTAGATATTAGAAAAGCTGCCATGGTATTCAATGAATTTTGGATCACCGTTCTAGTTTTCACATTCAGATATAACTCTGATAGTTGTGGTACAACCCACATATTTTTATTCCAACTGTTTTAGAATCAAATTATTTTAATACTTGAATTTCTCCCTACAGCTATTGAAATATCCTGTGGTGAATCATAACCACTACAGAAGGGCATCTGACTGGACAGTTGCTGAAAATAATTTCCCCCAAATTTTGGCTGATTGGAAATGGTTATTAAGAAATACATGATTTTTACTTGAAATTACTTTCAACATGATTCATATTTGCAATTAATAACCTAGGCATTGAGATATTCAGAACTTTTTCTGAGAAGCACAACTTGTGGTTAAAGCTTATAGGAAGGCATATGACATCTGTTTTCACACACAGCCAACCTACTGGTGAAGCCAGAATGCTTAAGCCAGCCAACAGTACAGCTCTGTAGCTGGAAAAAAATGTTTCTTCAAAACAATCCAGCCAAACCTCCATTTTTCATGAATCTCAGCTTCACAGGGCATTGGTGATATTGATCCATCTGAACAGAGCAGAAGGTCAAACCCAGAATGAGTGGAAATGTCCTCTTTGTCTCACCGATGACTAAATGAAGCATCAGTCATGAGTGATCTTGTGGTTGACAAAGGAGCCAGTAGTCACTAGAAAGACTTCCCTGGGTCTCTTTAGTTAATCTCCCTGCCTCTCAGAAGGTTTAACTGGACTTAACAGAATGTCAGGTCTTGAACAATATTTTCAACTGGTTTCACTATCTCAGCACCTTTCTTTAGGTGCACTGCAGGAATGAGCCAATAAAACAACATAGTATATCTACTTTCTTTTGCTGAACTACACTATTTTCCCTTGGTGACTGACCTATATATAGATGACAGAGCAAAGATAGTTGTCTTTTTCTTAATATACACCTTCCCCTGTCTTTCAATATATCATGGCCTAGGAATCTAAAAAAATAAATAAAAATTATTCTTTGCTGAGAATCACATTTTATCTGCTTTGCATAGTCTGCAGGTTATTTCTTTAAGTCGCACTTAGCTCATTAAAATTGAAAAGCAGATAGACCAGTGACATGGCAATAGGATTGCAACATAGGATATCTGTGTTAAGGTGCAGCTTCAGGACTCCCCACAATGGATGTTGAGGAGTAGTGATACAGTCTGTCTCTGTGGAGGAGAGTGCATGCAGAAGCACAAGATATTTCTACAGAACTACCTTCAGGCTGGTCCAATGGGTGATACAAATGGCTGCCTCCAAAACACAAAAATAGGAAAGAATTTACATCAGATGCCTTGCGCCCACTATGTGCAAAAGGGGAAGGAGTTACAGTGTAGTTCTTACTCTTCTGGTTTCTCATTCATTATATATCTGTATATATGGACTATAAGTATTCTGAATGTCATTTTTCACTGAGATTTTATATCCAGAGAAAACCAAACAAAAAGTAAAAGTCTGGCAAGTTTGTGTACTAATTTTTACCATCATCACTAGTATGGTTGGATGAGGCATGGCTAATATTGACCCAACTCTGCCATTGTTTCAGAAAACTCTTCTAATCTTAACTATACTGAAAATACTACAGTGATTCCTTCAGTCAGAAAATCTGGACCCCAACCCACAATGACCATGGTGGAGAACTGAAATTAAACTTGAACTTATATCTGAGGTATTCAAAGTATTTTGGAAAGAAAATCAACCTACGGAGCCACATCACAAACACACACACACAAACCTTCAAACAAAACGCTTCTATTTCCTCTTTCACTTGTGTATTATGGGGTATCATTTCGGGATGAATTTCACAAATCGATTGTGTAGGTGTTTTTGTCAGCAAGGTTGTGCATTTTGGCTATGTTCCTTTTCCAATTTCTACTAAGAAGCAGCTGGAAGCCAAAGAAGGCCCTATCCATCATCTCTTCTATGGCCGGACTCTGAACCTGGACACAAGAATAGGAGCCTTTCACTCAAAAATAAAGGAGGAAATTCCATTGACATACCAGGGTCAATCACCATCCAAATGAACTTGAGAAGGGATACTTTTCATGGATTGAAAACACTTTCACTATTCATATTCAACTCAGTCTTTTCAGATGCAAAAAAGTTCATTATCAGACATTAAATGTAATTGTAAAACTGACCTGGAGATCATTTACTGAAGAGAAATGGGGAGTTACAAGAGTTTCTGATTTATTAAGCTTCTTTTTTCTTGATTTGGAATCCTCAGAACCCTTCATTTGGAGACAGTCTCATGTGAACAATTTTTAATTAGATAAACTATCTAATCAATATATCAACAGATCAATCAAAACAGCAGCTTTTAAAATGAGTGGCTAGAGGGGTGATTCTGAAACTAATGGCTAGAAGAATATTTCCCTGAATTGAATTCATTTGTTAGGATAATAGGAGATTAAACTCTAATTAGTGTAGCAGGTTTTGAAGAGAAACAATTGAGATTTAAAAATTCACCAGTGTTAGACCAAAAAAAAAGTTAACTATGATTATATCTATTTAAAGCAGAAAGTAATGGACTTGTCTACAACATATACATTTCTAAAAATCTGCAGTTTTTTAAAATGTATTTGTTTTCTTTTTCAGGTTGTTGTATCAACAACAGTCAATGTGGATGGCCACGTTCTGGCTGTCTCAGACAACATGTTTGTACACAACAATTCCAAACACGGAAGGCGGGCTCGCCGCCTTGACCCCTCAGAAGGTACGGCCCCTTCTTATCTGGAAAATGGTAGGCACACATTTACATGTCTTTTTTTATTTGCAATGCTTTTTTGCACCATATTTTATGTTGATACACTACTACATTTACTTTTACATGATTTCTTCTCTCTTCACATTGATCAAACAGCCCGTTAGTATTTCTGACTCCATGTCAAACAAAATACAGCCCTCCTGATTTGCTTTTGACTTCCTTTTCTTTATTTAGTCCATAAAGTTCTGCAGTCACAACCAATTTTTCATCCCCTTTTATTCTTTTTTGTTTGTTTGTTTAAAAGCCTTGTTTTGCTTGCAGCTTTTTCTTGCTGTTTAATTTTATTTTATTTTATTTTGGCTTGTCATAATCCTCAATCCAGAGGTACAGTCTCAGGTTATGTATGCAAGTTTAAATGGATGGTAAAAACATGACCAAATCTGTAAGGAATTTACTGTGAGGTCAATTTCCTGTTGCTGGGCCCTACTGCTACAGATTAAAGCAGTAGAATTTTTGTATGAGAAAAACAGTATAACATGTTTTTCTTCTAGTTGATTAACTTCTTGCCTGATCTGCTAAAATAAAGTAATTTGTGGGGAAAAGAACAGTGGAAAATGTCCCCAACAATCCCTAAACTCTGAAATACTTTATTTTTGCAGCCCATCAACCTCTGAATCTTGCACATCCATACACATATGTACACTCTCACATAAAGTAAATGACCAAAAGACATATCTATATGCAAATGTCACTTTTTACATACCATAACATCCCCTCACACAAACCTGGATAATTACTATTAAGTAATGCACTTTCTTATACAATAAAATGGTTAATTATCAAATATATTTTGAATTGCTTGAAGATTAAAACTTTCCAAAAACGTGCTTTTTTTTTACACTGCAGTACAGACTGAGGGGCTGATCCTGCAAACACATTGACTTCACTGGGACTACTCAGGTGAACAGTTACAAATATGCATACGTGTCGGCAGGATCATGCCCTTTACAACTGTACAATTAAATCATTTAAAGTAACAACTGGCAATGCTAAGCTGCTGTTATAACAGTTCTCATATATTAAGGTTATGTGTTTATGTTCCACATAATACATACAGATGCACACACAGAAAAATGAATGAAGCAAGCAATGATTATCGGAATGAAATATGATTTAGACATCAAAAAATGGAAAACAATTTATGAATCTGCTGTGGTCCACAAAAAAACTAATTTGTTTTTCTGCATTAATAAGTAAGGTATAAGAGAACAAAAATATAATAATTAAAGGTCGCCCTGAGCACAAGAGTCATTATAGTCTATGACGTATTGTTTATCTCTTTCATATGCACTGAAGGTAGGTGTGTATTTTGCCTAGCAACCATCACTAATGAGGTTCACAATTAAGAAGGTTGAATCCTCTCCCCTAGTCCTTTACTTCCCTAGAGAGAGAGAACTAGCAACATTATAGGTTCAAGTAAGCATGCTCAGCCCTGTGGTGTTAGGTTTTAGTCTGGGTCCAAATTCAGCCTCTTCTAATGAGCTATTATGATCCTAGCAAAATACAAGTATTTATTTTTGTAAGCTGTATAAAAAGTATTTGACTCTAAGCAGAAAATATCACAGTTGGAAAAATAAAGGCCATTTTTATATACTATGAAAAATTTACATAAACTCCATTAACCAATAGCTGCTTTGTGGAATATCATAATTGATTTGTTTTATTTAAATGTTAAAGACATTGGGCCAAATCTTGTTTGCCTCACTCCCTGGAGTTTGCATCACTCCTTTTACTGAAGTTAGCTGACCTATTCAAAGGCGATCAGGATTTGGTCCATCATTCTTGTCTACTTTAAAATT